GTTCGATGTTAGTGTTGCTTCACCTCCGCGGTGAAGCCCTGTCCGAGTTTAAAGGATCGGAACGCCTCGGGCGTTCGGTACGCGCATAAGTCTCATGAATCTTAAGATCACGGGCCCGTAGCTAAGGAAGCGGGATGCAGTCTTGGGAAGATTTACACAATGATGACACCATAATTTTCGCGATACAATCACACTTGCCTAGGCATAAAAACCCTTGCGAATCAAGGGAAAAGCCCGAGCAAGCGTATAATTTATTGAAACACAGTGGCCGGCCGCCGTATCGGCGGCGCGGGCCCATTCACACCAGATTACAATCGCTGTCGCTGTTATATCACGTACCGCGCGGTAGTTCTCGCTCGACGCGGCCGAAATGGCCGCCGAAAGACCGAAATGGCGGGTGCCGCCACACCCGACACCGCCCCCTCCCCGCTCTCCCTTGTGAAAGCGCGCGTCATGACGCAATTACTCAAAGGGGGGCCGCGTTCCCTTGTGAACGCGGCCCTCCAACGGCGAGACCCGCACACGGCGGCTATCCCCCCGCAAGAACTCAAAGGGGGGCCGCGTTCCCTCGTGAACACGGCCCTCCAACGGTGAGACCCGCACCAGCGGCAGTCCCCCGCAATCTCCGCGAGACCCACGGACGCGGCCGCCCGCAATTACCTGTTGCTTCCGCAATCGCGCCTCCCGGCGCGTAAGCCCGCTCAGCGCCCTTGTGCGCCGAGCAGCGGTCGCCCGCCGGGCGGACGCCAGGCAAAGGCGAGCCCGCCCTTTCCGGGTCCTCGATCCGCAAATCCTTGTGGCGAAGAAGATGGCCGCCCAGCCTCGCGTGCCAGCGAGCCCGTCTTCCAGTCCCGATCGCGCCTCGCCCCTTCCTGGGCAGCGCTCTCGAACGCCCTCGACTCTCTGACAAGAGCCGCGCTTGCCTGCGGCCGTGACTCTCTCAGGAAGGATCCTCTGTCGCTCGCCACTTCGCACCTCTGTTGGCTTGGCCTCGACTTCCAGGATCGTATCCGGCTCGCTCGAGATTCACGCTCACAATCGTCCTTTGTCCGGCTCGCACACACACCGGAAAAACAAGAGACCCGGAAGCGACGACTCGCACGCCGCACTCGCTCCCGTTCCCAACGCTCGCACGCGCGGCGGCGCCGCCGAGCACCTACGCAGCGCCGCGGTAACGCCGCTCGGCCGGTAACCCGGCCGCTACGAACTATGGCTCATTCGCCGCGAACATTCCGCCCGCCTTCGTCCGTGGACGAACATACATCTCGATCATTCGCTACTTCGCGGCAAATCACACCCGGCCCTTCCCCGATTGTCAGCGGGCTGAGTCCGGCTACATGTCGCCGGAAGGTGGAGGTGGCTGTTTTCACCGTGACCACTCTAAGTCATCCGGTCCCGGATGGACCTCCCTGACACGACCCAACGGCCACTTGGCCGGAGGGTACCGACCGTCCTTCACGAGAACCAACTGCCCTACCTTCATGTTTTCCTCCGGAGTTCTCCATTTGCCCCTCTCTTGTAGATGCTGGAGATACTCGCTCGACCAACGACTCCAGAAGCTGTGCAACAGTCGTTGCAGCAGTTGAAACCTATCCAGGCGATTGTCCGGTCCTTCCAATGGACCGTCGTCCGGAAGCAACGCCGGTGCTTCTCCGATCAAGAAATGCATCGGAGTAAGCGCACGCAAATCGTCCTCGCTCAGCTGACTGAGGGGACGGGAATTCAAACAAGCTTCCACTTGGGCCAACCATGTGGAAAATTCCTCGTAGGTGAGCGTATGCTCCCCTATTACCCTTCGAAGATGATGTTTAGTGGATCGAACTCCAGCTTCCCACAGCCCTCCGTAATTAGGTGCATTCGGTGGAATGAATGTCCATTCCGTGCCCTCGTGAGCTAGAAGAGAAGCAGTTTCCTTATAGAACTCCGACATCCTCTCAAACATTCGCCTTAATTCCGTATCCGCTCCTCGGAAGTTAGTCGCGTTGTCACTGTAGAGCGCGCGACACACTCCACGCCGAGCCACGAATCGCCTGAACGCTGCTATGAAGGAAGCAGTGCTGAGGTCACCCACCAACTCAAGATGGATAGCGCGTGTGACGAAGCACACGAACAGCGCTATATACCCCTTATACGCTTTCTGCCCGCGTCCCTTCGCGGCGCGTATCTGGAATGGGCCGGCATAGTCGAGA